TTCTGATTCCTTTTTTTCCTTTGGTCATTATGAATAGGGCTTCTGTACATAATTGCATGGTAGCTTTTGTTTGGAAATAATATCAAATTAGCTGTCAAAATACTTTTGAATGTAATTTTTGGATTGTAAGGTGAGACTTGTTTAGCTTTGGGAAAAACTGCCCAACTTGTAATAGGAGAAGAAAAATAATTTTCTCTCTACCTTTACGGAATTCTTAGATGGGACCCTCTGTAACAAATTACAGATTAAAATGAGAAAAAAGTAAAGTTTAAAAACATATATACCTTATGGATACAAGGGAGATATTCAGGGAAAAATGAGTAAATCTCCAACAGGTGGCTTTCAATTCAAGTGTAAATGCTATCTTCAACTTAAAGAAGAGTTGAGGCTCAGTAGTGGGGAGGTAACAAGCAAAAACACAGTAGACAAGGGTAAGCTTTCTTATACAGACTTAACTCCATGCATTCTCTGTTGATAAGACTCTTCAGTGATTTAGTCATCCTTCTCTTCTTGGTTGGTGCCGAGAGAGAGAGATCTTTTAAATGGAGATTTGGTTTATAGATATAAATTTTCCTTACACAAGGGTAATTTCTACTCTGTTTTCAGAACTTTCTTTTTTTAGCATTTTTTCAGAGTAATCAGCTCAGAATAGTTCTTATGCCAAAGGGACATATTTTGGGGTGGCATATTCTGGTTTCCTACCATCATATTTTGGGGTGGCATATTCTGGTCTTACACACTGTCTTCCACCAGCAATGAGAAAAGAGTTCTTGTTTTCCCTCCAGCAATTTGTCATTTTTTTAGAGTTTAGCAGTTCTTACAGATATAGACCAGCTGTGCTATCTCATTGTGGTTTTCAGTTCTGTAGTATGTTGAGCATCTTTTTGTATGTTTACTTGCCATCTGTAGCTCATCTTTGGTGAGGTGTCTGTTCAGAACTGTGTGCATTTTTAGTTGAGCTGTTTACTTATTGCTTAGTTTTAACAATTTTGTATGTATTTTGAATACAAATTCATTCTCAGATTTGTATTTTGCAATTTTTTTTTTCAATATGTGGCTTGTCTTTTTGTTCCATTAACAAGGTCTTTTCCAGAGTATAAACTTTATATATTAAAAAATCCACATTGTCATTTCTTCTGCGTATATCAGCCTTTTGTGTCATTTGTTAAAATTCATTACCAAACCCAAAGGCACATAGCTTTTCTTCCATAGTTTCTTCTAGAAATTGTATAGTTTTGCGTTTTTAGTGTAAGGATGATTTTGAGTGATTATTTAAGTTGTAAAGTTTTCATCTCCATGCATATCATTTCCTATGGTTTCCAATAATCGTTCCCTCACTATTTTTGGGAAAGACACAGGGTAGTGGGCTCTGTTAGAGCAGATAGACGGCTAGACATGAACAGGAGGGGGAGCTCCTGGAAAAGGGAAAGTCTGGGAAGGCTCACCTGGAGGGACCACCAAAAATTCACATTTAGTGGCATCTGTAATGCTAGAGTGGATAGCCACTTGTCAATTGTGGGTAGGAGGGAGAAGAGGTACCTATGCAGAAAGAAACACCCTAGAACTCCTCTTAAGATATCCCAGTCATCATTCACTCTGCAGTAAAAATGTCACAATATTGGTAGCTACATGCTGATAAGGACAAAGGGGACATTCTTAAAAGAAACCTGGCACCATAAGTACAGATTAGGGCGGAGAAGCACATTCAAAAGAGATAGGCGCAGTAGGTACAAATGTGATCGCTGTCAGCCTGCCTGGGATGGTGGGAAGGAGCCTGGTGCCAGAGTGGATTCGGATGGATGACCACACATGTGCTTGAACCAACAGTGAGGAGGTCCCACAAGCCTAAGTGGGGCAAGTTGGGGACCTAAGGCAGTAGCAGGAAAACCAGACAAAGAAAACTGGCGGAGACTTGAGACAGGGGCAGGAATGTGAAGAAGTCCAAAATAAAATTCCCTGCACAGGACTCTTACGCTGCTTTCCTGCGCGATCAGCCTACTCCTCTCTATTTTTCTACAATAAGCTCTTCACACTGTATTTTTTTCAATGAAGTTATCTGCCATCTTTGTATTGCCCCTTGGTGAAAATCTTTCTTCGAAGTTAGACAAGAACTGGGACATCAATTTCCAGAACCGACGGTGCTTAGTAACTGGCGCTCCGACTTTAAGTGGTGCAGAAGGCGACCTTTAGGGGGCGCCAGCCCTCACGCCTGGAGCAAGAGGGCCCTGCACAGTCCCCATGTGCCTGCAGGTGGTGTGCTGCGAGGACACTGCCAGCAAGAGGGCCCGGCAGTGTCCCCAGATGCCAGCAGGGGGCGTACGACGAGTATACTGTGAGCAAGAGGATCCTGCAGTGTCCTTAGCTGCCAGCAGGTGGCGCACGGGCACCACACCATGAGCAAGAGTCCTGGTTGGCAGCAGGGAGCGTGCTGCCACTCCACCGTGAGCAAGAGGATCCTGTAGTGCCCCCAGCGGCCAGAAGGGGGCGTGCCCCCACTACAAGGCAAGCAAGAGGGCCCGGCAGTGTCCCCAGCTGCCAACTGGGGAGCCAGCCGCCACTTCACTTGGAGCAAGAGGACCGGGCAGTGTCCCCAGCTGCCAGCATTGGGAGTGCTGCCACTACACTGAGCAAGAGAGCCCTGCAATGTCCCCAACTGCCAGCAGGCGGCGTGCCGTCACTATACTGCGACCAAGAGGGCCCTGCAGTGCCCCAGCGCCAGCAGGGGGCGCTGGCCACAACTGTAAGAAAGAGGGCCCTGCAGTTGCTCTAGTCGCCAGCAGGGGGCGCACTGGCACAGCACTGTGAGCAAGAGAGCCCTGTAGTGCGCGGCTGCAAGCAGAGGTCACCGGAGCCCGGCTTTTCAGATTACTGATGTTTCGCCCCTCTCCGCGGCTCCCCTCGCGGCGTGCGTCTCTGCGCCTGCGCCGCGACCCTCCCCTTACCCCCCCCACCGCGTGGGCATGCGACTCTGCGCTTGCGCGGCGCCGTCCTGCGACTCTGCGTCTATGCCGGCCTGCGCTGGGGCCTGGCGCACGACTGCGCCTGTGCGGTGCCGGCGTCTGACTCTGCGCCTGCGCCGGTCTGCGCCGCGCCTGGCGTGCGACTCTGCGCCAGCGCCAGCGCTGTACATTTGTGAGGGCGGAGCTGCATTCTCCTCAGCCGAGACACTGAGAGTATCGCGAGGGCGGAGCTGTGTTCTCCTCTGCACCGACCTAGGGGGTACCGTGAAGACAGAGCAGCGTTCTACTCTGCCCAGACTCTGGCGTGGGGGGCACCGCGAGGGCGGAGGTGCGTTGTGCTCAGCACAGACGTTGGCGGCACCGCCTCGCTTTGGGACAACTCGGGCCCACATCCACAGTGAATAAAATACTTCCTGTTTCTAGCCCTGAATAACGTAGGTCAGAGACTACTTAGAATGGTTCATTGTGGAAAACGGGAAACCGAAATCCCCTCTGAATCCTGCGCACCAGAGGTTCTCTCCACCCAAGGATTAGGGTTAGGATTTTAAGGTTAGGGTTTTAGGGCTAGGGTTAGGGCTAGGACGAGGGTGAGGGTTAGAGGGTAGAGGATTAGAGGGTTAGGGTTAGGGTTGTGAGGGTTAGGGGTTAGGGTTAGGTTTCGGGTTTCGGGTTTAGGATCGGGGTCAGGGTCAGGGTCAGGGCTAGGGTTAGGGCTAGGGTTAGGGCTTAGGGTTGGGGTTAGGAGTTAGGAGTTGGATTTGGGGTTGGGTTTGGGGTTAGGGGTGAGGGTTAGGGTCAGGATTAGAGGTTACGGTCAGGATTAGGCGTCAGGGTCGGGGTCAAGGTTTGGGTTAGGGTTTAGGGTTAAGGGTGGATTATGGTTGGGTTAGCTGTACGGTTAGTGTTAGGGTTGGGTTGGGGTTAGTGTTAGGGCTAAGGCTGGGTTAGTGTTAGGGCTAAGGCTAGGGTTAGTGCTTAGGGTTAGGGGTTAGGGTTAGGGTTGGGTTACGGTTAGGGTTTGGTTCTATGTTGGGGTTAAGATTTGAGTTAGCATTCCGGTTCTGTTTTGGGTTAGGTTTAGAATTAGGGTTCGGGTTCGGGTTAGGGTTCAAGCCATTCTCCTGCCTCAGCCTCCCGAGTAGCTGGGATTATAGACACACACCACCATGCCCAGCTGTTTTTTTTATTTTTGGTAGCAACAGGGCTTCACTATGTTTTCCAGGCTTCTCTCAAACTCCTGACATCGAGTAATCCACCTGCCTCCGCCTCCCAAAGTGCTGGGTTACAGGCATGAGCCACTGTGCCCAGCCTTCACTCTTTTCTCTGAGTCAGACATCTCTAGTAAGATAGCCTTTTCACAACTTTTATTGCAACGGAAGTATTGCAGAACTTTGTCAGGTTGAACTGTTAAGGGTATGTCTGTTTTTCTATGATACACTGAATTTAGGAATGTATGAGTCAGTAATGAAAGTTGATCTGGCATCACCCTTGGCATTTGAGTTCCTAGATGGAGAAGGGTCTGTTTTTCT